AATGCACCAGCCACATTCATGGATTTAATGAACAGAGTATTTAAACCACAATTGAATAAATTTGTGATAGTGTTTATTGATGACATCCTAATTTATTCGAGGAGTAAGGAGGAGCATGAGCAGCATTTGAGGGTAGTACTACAGATCCTTAGAGAGAAGAGACTGTATGCAAAATTTAAGAAGTGTGAATTCTGGTTGAGCAATGTATCCTTTTTGGGTCATGTAGTGAGTAAAGATGGGGTATCTGTGGATAGCACCAAGGTGACAGCAATTGTTGATTGGCCACGACCTACTTCTGTGACGGAGGTATGTAGCTTTCTAGGGCTTGTTGGGTATTATAGACGGTTTGTGGAAGGATTCTCCCGTATTGCTTTGCCACTTACCAATCTCACCAGGAAAGGGGTATAGTTTGAGTGGAATGATGATTGTGAGCGTAGTTTCCAAGAGTTTAAACAGAGATTGACATCAACTTCAATCCTTGCCTTACCTACAAATGGAGGTGGTTTTGTGATTTATAGTGATACTTCACGACAGGGTTTATGATGTATGCTCATGCAGCATGGGAATGTGATTGCTTATGCGTCACGATAGTTGAAAATACATGAGAGAAACTATCCTACGCACGACTTAGAGTTAGCAGCAGTGATTTTTGCTCTTAAGATCTGGCGGCATTATTTATATGGAGAGTCATGTGAGATTTATACTGATCATAAGAGTTTGAAGTATATTTTCACACAGAAGGAACTGAATTTGAGGCAAGGAAGATGGCTTGAGTTACTAAAAGATTATGATGTGAATATTTTATATCATCTGGGAAAAGCAAATGTGGTTGTAGATGCCTTGAGTAGGAAGGTCGCAGTTGGAGATGTAGCTGCTTTGTCTATTGAGAGTTGTTTGGTGAAAGACATGAGACGTTTGAGGCTTGAGGTTGTTACACCTGGTAACTGGGCTTATTATAGTCAATTGATAGTTCAGCCGACCTTGAGAGAACAAATTCGTTTAGCACAGGAGATTGACCTCCAGTGTGAGCGTATTAAAGGAGAGATGGCAGAGGGTAAGCATGTAGACTTTGTGGTTAGTGATGATGGGTTGCTTAGATTCCGTAGCCGAATTTGTGTTCCTGCTGGTGGTGATTTGAGGAAGGAGATTATGACGGAGGCACATAGTTCTAGTTACAGCATTCATCCTGGAAGCACTAAGATGTATCGGGATCTTCATGAACATTTTTGGTGGAATGGTATGAAGGGAGATATTGCAGAATTTGTGGCTCAATGTTTGGTGTGTCAACAGGTTAAAGTAGAACATCAGAAACCCGCGGGGAAACTACAACCCTTACCTATACCAGAGTGGAAGTGGGATCATGTTACCATGGATTTCGTGTGCGGATTACCTCATACTAGTAGTAATCACGATGCAGTTTGGGTAGTTGTGGATAGATTAACCAAGTCAGCACATTTTATTGCAGTTCGAATGAACTATTCTCTAGCTCGATTTGCACAGTTGTATGTGAAGAAGATTGTTAGATTGCATAGTGCACCTGTGTCAATAGTGTCAGATCGGGACCCTCGCTTTGTGTCTAAGTTTTGGGGTGCATTACAGTTAGCTATGGGTACTCGGTTAAATTTTAGTTCAGCTTTTCACCCTCAGACAGATGGGCAATCAGAGAGGACTATTCAAACCCTTCAGGATATGTTGAGGGCTTGTGCTTTGGAGTGAAGAGGTAATTGAGATGATTATTTGCCGCTCATGGAGTTTGCCTATAATAATAGTTATCATTCTAGTTTGGGAGTAGCTCCTTATGAGGCTTTGTATGGGAGGAAGTGTAGGTCTCCTTTGTGTTGGTATGAGGTTGGTGAGAGGCAAATGTTGGGACCGGATTTGGTGGAGGATGCTACACGGAAAATTATCACCATCAGAGAGAGATTATTGACTGCTCAGAGTAGACAAAAAAGTTATGCTGATCATCGTATGAGAGATTTAGAGTTTCATGTGGGGGATATGGTATTCTTGAAAGTATCACCATGGAAAGGAGTCATCAGGTTTGGAAAGAAAGGAAAGTTGAGTCCTAGATACATTGGTCCATTTGAGGTATTGGAGAAGGTTGGTGAGGTTGCGTACCGTGTTGCTCTACCCCCTAGGTTGGCAGGAGTGCATAATGTGTTTCACGTGTCTATGCTGAGAAAATATGTGCACAGTCCGTCACATGTGATAGATTATGACCCGCTTCAGATTAGAGAGGATTTTTCGTATGAAGAGATATCTGTTCAGATTTTGGATTCGAAAGAAAAAATGTTGCGTACAAAGGCCATTAAATTGGTTAAGATACTGTGGCGTAATCATCTAGTTGAAGAGGCGACTTGGGAGCGCGAGGACAAGATGCGCGAAAAGTACCCACATCTATTCTCATGATTTACTCAGTTTAGTTTCGAGGATGAAACTTTTCTTTTAAGGGGGGAGAATGTGAGAACCCGAATACACAAATCAAGTAAATATTTAAATAATAATAATATTACAATCTCGAATATTTTGGTGGTGAATTCTAAAGTGCAAATTAAATATTTGGAGGGTCTTTCAATTAATTTTTAAACCTAAAATAAATTTATGATGAAAATCTTTAATTTAGAGGCAAGATTTATTATCTAAAAAAATAAAATAAAAATAAAATAAAGTAAATAGAGAGGAGGGTGTGACTTGAACTCTAGACTACAAACTTAATAAATAAAGCTTTACTATTTGAGTTGCATATAACTTATATATGTATTTTGTATTTTTATCTATTTATTTGACCTATGTGTGCCCACCACTAGTATAAATAAAATAAACACAAACCCTAATTATTATGATATTGTTTTCCCACAACTTTTCTGAGCAACCGTGAGAGGTAAAGGGAGAGAGAGAGACGTCTAGGTCATCGGGTGAAAATTGTTGAGTTTTGTGGTGGCCATTGGCAAGGTAAATCCCTCATTATTTTTATTCCTTCACTATCTTTTTCTTCTTATTGTGAGTTGTTGTGTAGTTGATGGATCAAATCGGTGAAGTAGGTTCATGTGTTGGCCATGGCTATGAAATATTTGGCTGATTGGGATAGTGCTTTATGTATAAAGAATGGTGTAATTCTTAGTCCAAAAATTCTCCACAGAATCACAAACTTTAAAAATCAAGAAACCATATCAAACGGATGAATTTTAATCTAAAATTTTTACAGTAGATTAATTACATATTGAATTGCGTATCTGATTTTTTTCATAATTTTTGGAAGTCAAAATCCATATAAAATGATGCGTTCAAATCTGTCCAGAAAACTGGTTTTTAACAGTAAATTCGGGAGTGTTGTTCTCTTTGGGTATAAATCTAAAAATTATCAAATTAGCGTCATTAGAACCGGTTACGAGTCTAGTTTCTTGAATTTTTAACCTTGCGTTGATTGCTCAAGTATACTAAGAGAACCGTCAATTTCTTTAAAGTGCTGCATAAAATAACCTATTTAGATATAATTAATTGTAGATAATTATTTTGATAAGCAAATCAAGTGAAACCAATTGGGTTTGAAACTTAGGATATATTAGTTGATATCTAGAGGTTTTTGGAATTTTTCGAATAGCGTGGAGTGGGTTTTGTAATTTTCAAAGTTAGCGAATAGATTGGAAAAACTCTGTTTTATCTTAAAGTCACTTTTAGTTAAGTTTCGATCGGAACCTATGTCTTGGGTGATTTTAGACCTTGAAGAACATGAACTTAGGTAATATTTAAGAGTAACGGTGAGTTGGGTTGAGCCGTGTTAGTGCTCTTTAGTTTGGGGTTACTTAGTTCTTATTCTTTAGTATTTTTTAAATTAGTAGTGACGTGTAGTTTTCATACTTGGTTCAGGGCACTAGTTGGACTTTTTTACTCTATTTGAGGATTATATTATTTCGGTTTCAGGTGAGTAGTTTCATGCTACGTATTTTTATAAATGTTTCTCTACCCTGAACTGTTAGAAAATTAAATTGTTGTTTTAAGACTAAACTGTTTTGATAAATTATTATATTATCAATGGAATCAAATTATTTCTGAAACATGTGTGAACTTGGCATATGCAAACCATTTGTTTTGGTCTCATGTTTATAATGATGAACTACCGTGTTTTGCGAAACTGATGTGTAATGATTATTGGGACCATATGTGTATTTAGTCCAGGGAAATTATTCCACTGTGTGTGGTGACTCTGGCCACTAGGGAACAGATCCGGGTTGGGCCGTGATGACTCTAGTGCTCAACGATTGTAAGGAAAAGACCTTAAAAAAAAGTTAAATGACCTTTAATCGGATTATCTTTGAGAAAAGGCCCAGGTGCCACCCTGAGGATGACTCTTAGTTCGGTATTGGATCCAACGGGGCTTGTAGCCTTGAGAACTGTGTGGCATATTATTTGTTTTTCTTGGTACCCAGAAAATTATTAGTGTTCATGTTGTAATCTGTTTTAAGTGAAAAATGTCGTTTATCACGTTCTTGCGAGACATGAGTATTTTAAGTGTTGAACTGTAGAACCTTCTTTTTGAAACAGATTGTATTTACCAAACTGTATGCCAATCTAGTTCCTGTGATATATATCTTATTTTGGAATTGAACCATGTTTTCAAAACTGTATTTACTATCCATGTTGCTACTCACTGAGCTATCAGCTGACTTAGTTGTTTACCATTTCCAGGTGTTAGAAGGACTTAGAGTGGACTCATGGCGTAGTGAGGACTCAATTGCATGGATCTCTAAGGCATTTATTTAATTTGTTTTAGGTTGCTTTGTCGAGTTTTGTGCATACATTGTGGTTGAGTTTTATTTAGAATTATTTTACTTTGTGGGTGGTTTGTGTCCCATTTAGTATATATATATTTTTAGGAAGTTGGTTATGACTTGTTTTTCACTTGTGGTATGTCACTAGATTGAGTGTTGATTTATTTATTTCTGGGCTATCATCACATTTATTCTTTATGGTTTTGGGTTCATGTTTAGGCTTACGCGTGCCTTGGGCTAAGTCCCTGTGGGCCACGGTCGGTCATGCCCGGATTTGGGGTGTGACAAAAGTCATCCAAAGTATACTAATTTTTTTTACCTCATATTTTAGCCAAAAAGTTTAAAGTTGCTAAAATAGCCAGTTTCCTAACGCCGATTGAAAAAAAATATATTTTAGTTATTAAACTCAATAAAAAATAGTATTTTAGACAATTTATGGACAACCACATTGAGTTTATACGATATAGTTATCGGTTCTTTTATTCTTCTTATTTATTTATTTATTTACGTGCTTGTGAATTATTTTTAAACAAATTTTCTCTATTGTGGATGCCGTGGTTATGCTGCTGAAATGCGAAAAAAAGATACGAGTCTTTGTTTGCCATTTGCTTTCAATGGAAACCATAAAAATTTGGTGGCACTTCGTCGTCTACATGATACCAAGTCCAAATGGCGGGGTGATGTCGAAGAAGAAAAGAAAGATGAAGCCGAGCATGCAACCATCATTGGTATATTTCTGTCTACTCAATCTTTAGATCCCTTAACTATGAATCATTTATATTTTGGCCCCACAAAATACTATCTTGTTACAGTTAACCCCTTTTGTTCGAATTCTATTAGGGAATAATCTTATGTAAAATAAAATTGAATTTTTTATCTAGTGATCTTGTTTGCACTTTGCCACTAAGAAAATGGAGACAAAGTGAAATTAGAATCACTAGATAATAATATTATTGTCCTAAAGTTACCATTAGCGTTTTAAAGTTTAGGGAGACAAAGTGAAAATGAGTCATCCTATCATATAAACGAAGCACAATTTAGCTCAATTCTTTTGAAACTGTTTTGTGTAGATTCATATACTACATATCCCATTATTAGTAGTAATGCCTCTGGTTTTTGAAATAGACAGACTTGGATCACAAAGTAGTGGATTGGGAACACTGATTTGTGCTGAAGATGGTAATAAGAGAATTGAATCAATGGTCTGTGATGCCTCCAAGATAGCTAGTACAATTAATGAGGAGAAAAAAGAGCATGATAATCTCTTATTTGAAAGTGATGACTTCTTGGCTAAGAATAGTCATCATGATCAACGCTATGTGAATAACTTGAGTGGTTTGATACGCCAAAAGACTCGAAAAGTACGTTCGCTGAATGAGTTGTTGGAAGATCATAGCACCCGAACTAAAACTGGACCTTCTAGTGTACTGCCTGGTATATCTGCTGTTTCCCATTCAATTTGTCTTCTCCTTGATCATACGGTTGCCAAATGAAGTCTTAAGAAACATTTTGTATGTATTAAAGGAAAAAGAAAGATCCCTTATGACAAGAAGGATTGGAAGCCTTTGAGGTTTATTAGTCCAAGCAGCAAACTGACAAAAACAACCCAGGTTTTCAAGGCAGATGTGAGCGTTGCTGTTACTGATTCTAAATCACAACAAGATGCATATGCTAGAGTTGATTCGCGAGCCAGTCTAAAAAATCAATGGAATCAACATATAATTAATAGAAATGCAATGCTAAGAAAAATGAAAAACAAGCAAACTCAGTTGGAGATTGGATTTCCCCCCTTAACAACCCGACAAGATGTTGTGCCCAAAACAAATCAAGTCGAAATTGGAGATGGAAGGAAAAATTATGTTGCTGCGGTTGATGGTGGTTTTTCCAAATCCATACCAAATGTATTTTCCAAGAGAGTATTTCTTTTCGATCTCAATGAGAAAATGGATGTCGACAATGAAATGGAAAATCTTGTTCCTCAGGTTGAAAATTGGAGTTCTTCTCCTCATCATCCACAACTGGTATGTGCATTTTCCTCTCTAAAATGCTATTACTTTCAAATATTTTCCAAGCTTAATGTGTGGTGTAATTTGTGTTTGTTTACTTTATTATTTTTTTGTTGGTTAGACTAAGATTTATGATCTTGTCAAGTTGGTAGCAATGGTTCTCACACCTTAGGATCTTGTCGACAATGGATAAGATCATGAATTAGCAAGATCATAAATTGACAAGATCATAAATAAGTATTATATATGTATTAATATTATTATTATTATTACTATCTTAGAATAATATAGTCATATAATAAATATATATAATTATATATTTTGTGTGTGTCCCACACGTATTGTGTCACTTGTTTGTGCTTCTTAGATGGTGATCATACAAGTTGTTGCTTTTAAAATTTGAAGGAAGAATATAAAAGTGAATTTTTAGTCTTTTGGCAAATTTAAACATTTACTATCTCTTATAAAACCTCATACAAATCAAAATTGGAGAACCAATAAAAATTTTGGGCTCTTATTCTATTTCAAATTTATTCTTTATATTATTGTTTTTGTTAGGAAACACAATGAGAGCCACTTTATATTATTATTTTTTTCTTGGAATAATTTTTTTTCTGTGTAGAAGAAAATGAGTTAGTTCCATGTAACTGAAACTCTGCTATGGTTCTCTTTCTTCTTTTATTTTTCATGTTTTTTTTTTTCTTTGTATATTTATTTTATCAAAACTTCCATGCTTTAATGTTTTTGAGTCTAGTGCATCTAATGAAACTTTAATATATATATTTTCTAGGATTTCTCTAACATCCGCAATAGTGAAAAAACAATTCAAGTCGAAGAACAAGGAAATAATGACATCCCAATGGAAATAGTTGAATTCATGGCAAGAAATCAATATGAAAGGTATCGTCATGAGGGTGAAAAAAGTTCTTTCTTCTCAAAACAAACCGATGCAAAGAGGGATGTCAAGTTAATGGGTTTTCCTAGAGTACACGGGAATGGGGTGCCTAAACCATTACAAGAAAAAAAATTGTTGCATGACCAAAATGCCTATTTTGGAAGTCCATAAGTCCTACCAAAATGGATCACGATAGAGTGAAGTAGCCGAGCATGTTGGATTACAAAATCGCATGCTTTATGGACTTATCATTCCTCAAAAGTATGCTGCTCATTCAGGTAACTTTGAAATGAATTCACAATTCCTTGAGACGGTGAGTGAAGGGAGAACGATTGGGGATCTTGATCTCAACTTCATGAATCCAAATGCCAATAACCTTGAAAAACATAATAAGAATTTTGATTCGGAATCTTTCAGAAGGGCATCTGTTGAACTTTCATTAGCTCGCAAGCATAGGGATTTTGATCTTAATGTAAAGCTTTCGACGTCTGTAGATTTTCATTCTAGCGATACCATACCAACTATGGAATTACTTAATCTTATGGATGCTAGGATGCAGCCAAGTTCAACCATTAGTTTGGACGGAAAACCTCTTCTTCCTAATTTTTTCACCAAACATTTTTCTCTCTATGATCATCACCCAAAGATCGGTCTAGATGAGACATCAAAGATCCTTGAGAAACCTCTTCTTTCTTATGTTCACCATTCAAAAGAGTTCTCTAATCGAGGGAGTGGGGTATTCGGTGATAGCTCAAGTTTTGGATTTTATGGTAAAAATCTTCCTTTAAATAAACCTTATGAATACTCACATGATGTTCATGTTCCCGTTGTTAATTCATTTTCTTCTCTGTTGCAAAATAATGGAAATTTCAAAAGAGGCACTTCAAAGTTTGAAGAGAGAGGGAAAGCACTCATGGAAAGCACAAGTGGTATTTCATGCATAAACCATGAGTTTAATTCGATCCAAGATATGCATGAAGGGTTCAATGGTACATCTGATACTATGGTGTTTCCCTTGCAATGCCATACAATTGAAGACACGGGAAAATGCATTGACAAGGAGGTGGCTTGTATAAATGCAACTATTTTTCCTATGAGAATCATCTATGAGAATGAAATTTGCAACATTAATAGAAACCCAGCGGACTTTACCATACCAGAAGAAGGAAATGAATACATGATTAGCGATCAATATTTGAAATTTAAAATGATGATTTTTTCTAACGGGAAATCTAACTTGATCAATGTTGATGGGCAAAAGCGATAGAGAGTTCCAAAGCTTTCTTCTACTATGAAAGAGCATTCCCGACATCGTTGAGCATACCTAAGCTCCAAAACCATGATTTGAAGCCTCTGTTCGCTTCAGTTGGTTGCAGGTACACCCTTTTCATTTGAGATTTCATTACAGTTTTTTTAAAGGTGCACACCCAGGATTGTTTTCTTGTTTTTCGAATTCTAGCTCGAGTTTTCCTTTTTGTCGTTGTTGTCGTTTTTGTTTTTGTTTTTTTTTGCATTAGCATTGGTGGCTTTGACCATTTGCTTTTTCTTTCTTGTCCAAATTGAGCTTTGTTACTTCTTCTTGGTTCAAGCTTTCATAAATAAACTTCACATGTATATATTTTGGATTTGATTTCTTCATGTTTTTGTGGTGTTTTCATATTGCACGGGGAAAACAATGAAAAACGTCAAACATTGTCTATAGGTTGAGTGGCTTCGATGTTTGTATAGGGCCTGTTTGGTAACACTTACGTTTTCAGTTTATATATACAAAAATTTTACAAACTGATTTTTGTTTATTTTTAGAAAAACATAAACTATAAACGCGTTTGGTTTAGACAAAATGTTTAAAAATATAAATGGATTTGATTTCTTCATGTTTTTGTGGTGTTTTCATATTGCACGGGGAAAACAATGAAAAACGTCAAACATTGTCTATAGGTTGAGTGGCTTCGATGTTTGTATAGGGCCTGTTTGGTAACACTTACGTTTTCAGTTTATATATACAAAAATTTTATAAACTGATTTTTATTTATTTTTAGAAAAACATAAACTATAAACGCGTTTGGTTTAGACAAAATGTTTAAAAATATAAAAAAAGAGTGAGAAATGGCAAGTGGTAGCGGGTGGTGGGTGGTGACGAGTGGTGGTGGCGGAAGACGGTAGTGGAAAATGATGGCGGGTGGTGGCTAATGTTGGGTGATAAAAAAAAAAAACTGAAAACTCAAAATGGAAACACATTTTTTATGTTTTTATTTTTTGGCCAAATTTATAAACTGAGACCACTGATTTGTAAATCAAAAATTTTATCAAACAAGTTTTTATTTAAGTTTTTAAAATTTTTATAAATATAAACAGAAAATTAAAAACGTAAGTGTTACCAAACGGCACAAAAGCAATCCACCCAATTCAAAAACTGCCATCTGGATCTTAACATGTAAGGAAACACTGCCACTTGTCACAATCCACCTTTTCCTGTCACCGATTCATATTCTCTCTCTTCATAGCTAAGAAAAGAAAAGATGCCCCTCAACCTCAGGACCCCCCTATAATATCTTTCTTTCTGCCGGAAACTTGAAAAACAGATCTAGGGTTTCAAAATCTCATCACAAACAAGAGAAATGGCGTTGGAATGGGTAGTTCTCGGGTACGCCGCCGGAGCAGAGGCCATCATGGTCCTCCTCCTCACCCTCCCTGGCGTCGAACATTTTCAGTTTATATTTATAAAAATTTTATAAACTGGTTTTTGTTTATTTTTTGTTTATTTTTAGAAAAATATAAACTACAAACGTGTTTCGTAAATGACAAAATGTTTAAAAAATTTTAAAAATATAAAAAAGAGTGAAAAATGGCAAGTGGTGGCAAGTGGCGGCGAAAGACGGTGGTGGAAAGTGGTGACGGTGGGTGGTGGGTTGCTGGTGGTGGCTGACGGTAGCAGGTGGGTGGGTGATGGTGGCGGGTGGTAGCGAGTGGGTGGTGGTGGTGGTGGTGGCCGGTGGTGGGTGGTGGTGGTAGTGGGTAGTGAGTGGTGGTGGCGGAAGACGATGGTGGAAAATGGTGGGGGGTGGTGGCTAGTGTTGGATGGTAAAAAAAAAAAACTGAAAACTCAAAACGTAAACTCATTTTTTGAGTTTACATTTTTTGACCAAATTTATAAACTGAGACCACTGATTTATAAATAAAAAATTTACCAAACAAATTTTTATTTGAATTTTTAAAATTTTTATAAATATAAATTAAAAACTGAAAACGTAAGTGTTACCAAATCACACCTTAGTATTTTTTTGGTGTTGATTTATAGTTTTTCCAATAAATGCTTTTGTCTCTGATGAGAAATTTATTGAAGAAAGAACAAGATTCGAAAGTTCATAACTCATTAAATATGGTAAGATAAGTCAGTAGTCGTTTCTTGAATTAAGGCCAAGTTTGGGAAGACTAAATAAGTGTATTTTTTGATTTTTTATGAAATATGGATTGGATTTGGGTTAGGTTTGAAGTGATGTGTTAGAGAGGTGATGTGACTTAAATGAGATGATGTGACTTAAATAGGATAGTGACTTTTTAACTTTTTGGATTGTTTGGAAGATGCCAAACTTGACCTAAATCTCTATTAATAATATTTAATTTTTTATAATTTTTTTTTTAAACTATGAGGCCATTCAGGGCATTAGGTGTTGTTACTCTTTATTAATTATCAAATATCAAGGTACTTTGTTGTTTTTCATACCCCAATACAAAATTATGATTTTTTTTTTCTCACTAATTACAATTCTCTTCAGCACCACTTAATTATATGAAAATTGTTTAAGAGCTCTAAAATATTGAGCTCTAATAGCTCTAAAAATACTGTAGCCTCAATTGATGTGATGTTTTACTCTTTATTTTTTTTTTTTTTTTAATTTTCAGCACTACCAGCTCATTAGAGCTGGCTTAGTAATCCCTTTTCAGTAGTATGTAGCACCACTGTAATTATATCCAACACCACCAAATAACTTTTTCAAGATTCATCTCTAACAATGTTGAGGAATCTGATAATGTACAATATGCTCTACTTGCTTGATGTGGACAAATGTCATTAGTTTTCATGATGTGATGTTATTGTTTCAAAAATATTAAAAATCTTAAAAATTTTACTAAAAATTCTATTAAATATTTTAGAATAAATTACACTAACACTTCCTTAAAGTTTGATTTTAATACAATTCCCTTTTTGACATTTCAAAAATTACACTAACTTCTTTGTCAGAAATTATCTGTGAACGGAAGTTACGGTTTAAAAAAAAATAAAATTATGAAGACCTTAATTTACTGTATTACCCTCTCAACCTACCCAATCATTGCAACCACAAACACTTTCTCATCATCTCCAAACTCTCTACACGATATCCACCCCCAACCCTCTGAACTCCCTATACCCTCTGCCCAATTCTGCAGTCAGCAATCTCTCCCTCTTTTCCATTAATTCCGGCCACCACAACCATTACTCAACAATTGGGTACATACACAGCCTCCCTTACATTCCTCCACCAAGTCCTTCATCCCAATGCCACTCCATGTTCACCGACGGTAACAATGGAGTTCATTTTTTCAGCTGCCACAGCGCCACCACTCCCTCTATTATCACAACTCTTTATCTCTTTCTCACTCGCAGTCACACTTTCTCTCTCTACTCTTGTTTGTTGTTGGTTCGGTTTGTGTGGGTTTGATTTTTAGGTGGATTGCTGTACAAAGTTTAGTGCTGGTGGACATGGGTTTTATTTTTTGTGTGGGTGTGGGGCTTTAATGGTGGGTGGTTGTAATTTTTTTGGTTGGTTGTGAGTGGTTTCCATGAGGTAGCTTGAAGATTGTAGCAAATTATGCATGTAACATGCTTGGTTTATTGCTTCAAAGAATTAATTTGTCCTGATCACAAATGGGTCTGTGTTTGTCTTCAAAATTAAATCTAAGTTTGTCTTCCTCTCTTTTTTTAATAATGGATGAGCATTGAATTCTAGGTTTGTGATTTGGGTTTGCCATGGTTGTGCAGTCCCTGAATGAGAATTATTGTGGATGCTTTAGAGATGAGTTGAAGCTGGGAGCTTGATAATCTTATATAAATGTACATATATATACTTTATGGGTATGTTTGATTGGAAGGATTAAAGCATGGGATTGAGATTATTAATCCGTGGGCCCAATCATCCTATGTTTGTTTTGACACTTTGGTTTAGGATTATTAATCCAATGGATAATTAATCCAACAAATTTGTAGGATTATTAGTAATGGGGTAGGGGTGGGATAGTTAACACCACACTAATTTGATAGGATTATTAATACTTCACTAATAGTGAAGTGAATCAAACATGACCTATAATCTTTGAGGTGTTGGGTGCTTGATAATCTTATATATATATATATATATATTTCATTTCCTAAATCCTAATAAAATTATATATACATATACATATACGTTCATATATATATAGAAGCTGTATATTCCCATCTTGATGGGTTAGTAATGGTAAGTTCAGGAAGTGCAGTTATAGTGAAGGAGGGAAGGGAAATGAAATAAAGTGAGGGTAAAGTTGATATTTATGAAAATTTAACAGCTAACATAATAACTTCAGTTAGGTCAACTAACAGTCAACAAATATAGGGGGTAAATTGTAATGTGACTTTAAATGTCGAGGAGGAGAATGTAATTTCTAGAACGTGAGGAGGATATTTGTATTAAAGTTAAACCTCAAGGGGTGTGAGTATAATTTACCCAATGTTTTATATGGATGTGGACTTACATGAGATCGACATTACGTGAGTCTCACAACCATGTGAAATATTTAATAAAAATTTTAATATAATTTTTTAAATCCCTATCATTGCTCTATTATTTTGCATTTGACAATTAGAAAGGGTTTGTTTGATTATATGTTGGGAAAATGTCAATTCAATGTCAAAGTATAAAAAAAAAAAAATTATACATTAATTGAAAACTTTATAAATATTAATAATTAAAAATCTAATTTTTTTTATGGATTTGTCAAAAAAAAAAAAATCAAAAGACCACTGGGCTGTATTTTCCCCTTATATGTTTATGTTTAAAAATATTTTTTTATGTACATTTACAAAAAATTTAAAAATGGTAAACAAAAATTTCATTATCTTCTAATAACAGTTGGGGATGAGGGAGAGAGAGAGAGACGGGAGTGCTGAGGCTACACTGCTCTCTTGAGAAATTATTCAATAATTTCATAGGAACACTTGGCCATATTTTAAGTTAATTATCAATTATTTAATTTTATATTATTTTTTTATTATTTCTCATGTTCAACAGAAATTATAAATTCTTATTCTTTTTTATTAATTAAAACTTTATAACATATCACGTATTTATATTCTAAAAATACTCCATAATCACCCATCTCCTCTCTGCCTCTTCGACCTTTCGGATTTCAATTTCCTAAAACAATGGACGGTTGGATGAA